AAAAAAAAAAATAAAAATGACTTTAAAAAAAAAACCAAAAAAAAAAAAATCATTTACTGCTGACATAGTTTGGCTGGTTTTTATGGGTGATGTGTGTGTGTGGCGCTGGGATTTACCTATGGCATCACCTATTTATTTATTTTTTTTGGTGGAACCAGGGATTGAACTCAGACACTTGGGCTTACCAGGCAAGCGCTTATTCTACTGAGCCATCTCCCCGGCCCCAGCATCACCTATGATAGGCGAATGTTCTCTGCTACTGAACTATGTCCCCAGCCTACAATTCTTTTGCTGTTATTTGTTGTTGTTGTTGGTTTTTTTTGGAGGCTCGAAATGCCTTTAGGGCATTTCTGGTTTGCAGTGACTGTCTGGGTTGGAACCCCAGAAGCTTGAGCTTGAGGGCTTTGTTTAAGCAGGCACTTAAACAACCGAGCTACCGGGCCGCCCCCACCCCTGCCCTTGCTGTTATTTGTTTTTGTCTGGGTATTTACCTGGAGGGGACTTTACTCCCAAAAAACACCCTAATCTTCCTTATTTATTTTTAAAAAATATTGATGATTGAGGCAGAGTCTCACTGTGCAGTGCAGTGCAGGCTGGCCTCAAACTCAGTGATCCTCCTGCCTTGGCCCCTTAAGTGCTAGGATTACAGGCATGCACCACCATGCTAGACCTTCAAATTTGTTTTTATGTAGTTTGACAACTAACTACCTCTTCAAATGAAACTTAGACCTGACTCATTATAACGCAGGCTTTCTTTCTTTTTTTCTCTTTTTTTTTCCCGGTGTTACCAGGGATTGAACTCAGGACCCTGTGCTTGCCAGGCAAGCACTTTTTTTTTTTTTTTTTTTTTGGTGGAACTGGGGATTGAATTTAGGCCTTTGCGCTTAGCCAGGGAAGTGCTTATTCCACTGAGTCATCTCCTCAGCCCCAAAGAACTGAGCTAAGGGGCAGGCCCCCGCAAGCACTTTTTCTACTGAGTTATCTCCCTGGGCCCAATGCAGGCTTTCTTGGTCAAGAAAAATAATCTAGAGACAATGGAAAATAATTTAGGGAAGAAAAAAAAGAGAAGATTTCCAGGAATTGGGAAGGAACAGATAGAAAAATTAAAAGCTACCAAGAAGCTTGAAAGACCATAGCACAGAAAAGGCAACGAAACAGTTTGCAAACTGTCTCTGGCTTGCGGCTCATTCGGAGGGGAGCCCAGCTCTGCAGAAGCAAGGTGAGGGCTGGGGTCTCCAGGAAGAACAGGGTGGTGGACTGATCAGCCATGTAGGGGCTCCAGGAGGTTGTGATCTTCAGGGATGGACAGTGCAGGATTTGCTCCAGAGGGGACTTCCTCCACCCGGAGGACAACAATCAACACAGGGATCTCAGTGCAGGTGCCAGCGTGTTGCTGGAGAGTGCCTGGTTTCCACCATTCCAGGAAAGGGTTGTTTGAAAATTAATGGAGGGGCTGGGGAGATGGCTCAGTAGGATAAGCGCTTGACCGGCAAACACAAGGATCTGAGTTCAAACCCTGGTTCTGCAAAAAAAAAAAAAGAAAGAAAGAAAAAGAAAATTAATGGGGGAGGGGCTGGAGAGATGGCTCAGTGGTCTACTTGG